CGCCGACGTCGACGACCCGGAGGAGAACCTACCCGTCGGATCAATCGTCACTCAATCGCCTTCAAAGCCGAAGCCCGAGCCTGTGTACGGTCCAGGGATGACGCTCATCTACCCTGGAGAGCCTGGCTACACCATGGCAGCCGAGTCGCAATCGGGCACCTGGTACGAAGAGAAGGTCGAGAAAGAAGAGAAGGCTGAAGCTGAAGCTCGCCCTATCGCCGTATCGCGCAAGTCAGTCCGCATGAGCCCGACTGCCAATGTCGAAATCACTCCCCTCAACGAGATGGATGCTCAGAAGACCGAAGAGCTCATCGACGACAAAGGCAACACCGTCAACACGCTCATCGCATCTCTCGGAGTAGGCTGGAAGAACGTCATGACCAACCCCAACCTACGCGACGCGGCACGCGCATACTCCCGCGTGATTGAGCGTCATTTCGACTTCACCGACGTCCTGGTGATGCTGGAAAAGGAATCACTCAACGCGTATCTCGTACGCGCTAAGCAACACGGTGTCCAGGGCTACTGGTTATTCTCGGACAACCTTCAGTGGTGCCAGCTCGTTGGCTGGTCACTAGAGCGAACTGTCAGCAACCTCATGTTCGGCTCAACTCCTCGTGTTGAGGGTGAGCGCATCAATGCTCGCCAGTTGACGCCGTCGCCTGCCTCTACACCCATTTCCCAGCCAGTCGTCGACGCCCCTATGGCGACTGCAGACACCGACGCGATGGAGATGTGACGTGTCTCAACCCATCTCTTCTCTTCCTTCCTGTTTCCTTACCCCACGAACGGCAACAAAACACGCCTCAGTTATCATTTCGGCTGCATTGATTTACGGTTTTCGATGTAGGTTTCTTCTTCGGCGAATCGGCGTTGACGGTGGAATCGGATGGCTCACTGGAAGTGACTCTATCTGACATGTACTATATTATTATGATGCTTATGCTGCGATGCTTGATCAAAGACACTCGATCGCATCTGCTAGTACGTGCCGCTAAACTTAACAGGCAAGAACTCAATGAAACTACGATTATCATTTACATCACCTCCACTTCCTGAGAACTGCTGTTGTTGAACGCGCATCCGGTGACTTCCAAGTGGCCACGGACCGGTCCTCGGGTCTTCCTTCACGCGCAAGCTGACGTGCTTTACCGACGCCCCGAGGCACGCAATTTCCTTGACTCTATTTTCAGTAGATCCTCGCTCGTTAAACACGATCAAACATGCTGCCGCGGTGACGAAAGAGCATTGAGAAGGCTCTGCCCCGAGCTCTGCCGCACTACCGCTCCTCAGCAACGCGAACATGTCGCGCGCACGACGCGGCGTCGCGTTTCCCGGACAGCACCTTTTCCCAGTCTGTTCATGACTCGTGCAGACGGTGCGCCTGAGTCGAGACCGCTGTTCTCTCAACGGCTTCGCTGATGGTTATTTTCGCTGTCACACCCCCTGATGGTGCTGTTTCACAGCCCTGGAGGCTGCTGGGCGCGCTGCTTCTCGGGAAGACAGCTTCCGTTAGTTCCGAGGTGCGCGACACCCGACGAAAACGAACCTTCCTCGCACCCGCGTCGCGTTGCGTCTACGTCTTGGATACGATGACTATGTTCATTGATCTCACGCTCCTACACGCGTGCGATAGTCGTCCATTCACCGTAGTCTATACACACGGATTGGCGATATAGAACCGAATTAGCATCCAGACTTTGGCCCCCAATGTGGCGCGGGGCGCCTTGCAGGAGGCTCAGAGTAAGCCTCAACCCATCAGGATGTGCGGCCGGTATACTTGGCAAAAACCAGGCGGCACTGCTGATAGGTGGGCTCGTACCAGCGAGGGTGCGATATCTCGCATGGTACTACGCGCTTCTTTGATCTCTTTTACGTTGTCTACTTGGACCGGATCCAACATTTTTGCTCATGGGCTTCGCAATGCCTGATTCAATTTGGCGGTTATTGCCTTCTAGGATACGCTCAACGATACACCCCGAATGGAGATCCAATAGCAATCTCGAGATGCAGGTACCGCTTACAGCCCAAACTGACCGGAATGGAAACCCTCTCGGGAGCTTGCAGTTACCACAAAGCATTCGCGCGAAGGCAGCATCGATACTTGGGTTGCGCAAGCGTGCGGTGGAGAAACATCTAGGGTCTCGCTTCACTAGATGGCGGTTTGGCGTGCTCAACTTCGCGATTTTGGCTTCAGTGGTCTTTCTCATTAACTTCGTGGCCATGGTATCAGGTATGGCTGCCACCTCTGGCGCCAAGGGTGTCTTCTTCGATGGCGATTGCGATCACGTCAAAAGGCTGAACACCGGGCTCCATCTTGGCATCAACATCTTGAGTACGATCCTGTTGGCTGGGAGCAACTACACAATGCAGTGTTTATCTGCACCAACGCGAAGCGAAGTCGATTCTGCCCACAGTCGCAAGCCTAGTGTATACCTCGATGTGGGTGTACCTGGCATACGCAATCTCAGACATATCAGCCGGCGTAGAGCTGTGCTGTGGGCAGCATTGGGACTATCATCCTTGCCATTGCATCTCTTGTAAGGCAGCAATTAATCCTGGAGCTCTTGATGCTTACGATCCTCAGGTACAATTCCGCGGTGTTTGGTTCGATTTCATCCAACGGTTACTGGGTGTTTTCTGTCGGACGAGCATTTCTGGATGGTGAACATTGCATGAATTGCACAGACGAAACGGTCCGGTCAGTTATATCTAACTTTACAGATGGAGAATCAAGGCGAACCTCGGTCGACGCCAGTCCTGGCGAACTCCGATCTGTACTTGAAAACCTCTGGGGGAAAGCACGCACGGGCGACCTCGAAAGGCTTGAGTCCGACAGATGCATTGACGAATATGCCACTAGCATACAATCCAACCATCGAAATCTGCTTATAGTGTCCGACGATAGCTTCTTTCCCCCGTCAACGGAGAACAAGTTCATCAATGGCTCGCACGTTTATTGGGCTGCGGATTTTGATGTATACGATGCGGCGGATGCCGCGGCAGCTAGCTTTGCATACGACTGGATATGTTCCGCGTCGCGCGACCAATCCACCCCATGTTCAGTCGTGGTACAGGATGTCAAGAAGCAAGAATCTTGGCAGGTTGGATGGCTTTGCGACGGTGAAGGGCTTTGCGACCGGTCACGTACGTCGGTGGAGTACTGTTTAAGTGAGCCGGCTCAACCCCATTGTAAGCTCCACTTCGAGCCTACTATTACGACTGTTATTACGATACTCAATCTCTGTAAGTTCAGCTGTCGTTCTCCACGCCTATACAGACGCAGCAGTGTAAAGAACACGCTCGTCGACCAACAATTCGAGATCGAATCAACTCTAACGTTTTTACAGTCAAAGCATGTCTAATGTTCTACGTCTTGCTCTTCGTGCACGACGAGCCGCTCATGACAATGGGCGACGCCGTCGTATCGTTTCTGGAGAACGAAGACGTTACAACGAAGGACATGTGTTTATCTACACTAGCAGACTTTCGAAACCGCAAAGGGTATCAGGTAGGACCGAGACAATGGCGGGATGATCGTTACTACTGGAAAGATGTGACCAGCATCACCCGCAGGATCGTTGTTGTCGTCTTGTAGGTTACGCCGGTAAACCGAAGATATCGTTGGCAGTTTGCTTACATTACTGATCAGATTTTTACTTGCCCTAGCTATAGTGAGCTTCCTCCTCAAGTTGGGAATTGACAATCTACCCTTGGGGACTACCTTTGATCAGTTTTCATTCGGTATGTATGATTTGATTGTCATGTGAAATTGAGCACGGTGCTAATTACCTCTAGGCGCTGTGGATCCTCAAACAGCAATCATGGGGGTGTATTTGCCATCGGGTTTGATCGCCATCGCTGTCATCGCCAACACGCCCCAAGTAGCTCTCTCGTTTCTGTACTTTAGTTACAACGCGCTCTTCACGGCCATGCTAATGGGCTACGAATGGGTGTCTTATTCAAGCAAGCGTAAGGGCCTTCGCGTAACTCATCAACCTGCCGGTGCTCAACGGTCGACATACTTCCTCCAGCTACCCTATCGCTTCGGTATACCTCTCATGGTGCTGAGTGGCACATTACACTGGCTGGTTTCGCAAAGCATCTTCCTGATCGCCATCGACTTTTACGACCCATTTGGGAAACCAGGCACTGGGTCTGATGCATCGAACATGCCATTCGATTACAAGACTCTGGGCTACTCGCCGCCGGCCATCATATCAGTGATAGTGTTGGGTGGACTAATGGTCATCAGCATAGTTGCTTTCGGGTACACACCATATGCGCGCGGTATGCCGCTTGCGGGGAGCTGCAGTATGGCCATCAGCGCAGCGTGTCATCCGACAGAACAGGTTGGCAGTGGTCAGAACATTGCCGAGAAGAAACTGCAGTGGGGCGTTGTCAGTACTGGTGCTGATGGACTGGGTCATTGCGCTTTCTCGGCAGAGAATGTGGGAGCAGTCGTTGAAGGCAAGATGTACGGTGGGCATTCGCTGTAGATGATAAGGGCAATGCCTTCCCAATTGTGAGGCATGTTCATGGCTCTGGGAATTTGCGCTGATTTGCTTGCGTACTGAACCAATGCAGTCATACGTCAGAAGTAGCATCTTATGACCAGAGTAAGGCGCTGGCAAAATTGGAAAGAACAAGCCTGAAAGGAAATATTCACGTAGGACGAGCCATGCCTATTGGCTGATCCTTCCCCCGCGCAGCACAGTACATTCGTGCCGGCATAGCCACGCCTGGAACTGCGCCTATCAAGTTATCCCACCAAAGCAACCCAGGTGACTCGCCTCCAATCGCATTGCTGTGCAAGGTGCTGTGCAGGGGTAATCCAACACGTGCAGTGGTCTGGCAATATACGTTCGCCACCACGGCTGCCTGGCGATGATATCGACAGAGAACAACGATGCCAAATCTATAGAAGGGCTTGATGCGCAGCTCGCCTTTTCATGACGGCTACACATGAGAGCTTCGCAGTAAATCACAAAGAAGTCAACATGCCATTGTGCGATCTTTGCCAGTCGGTCGACGTCCTCGACATCCCTAAGCTACCACCCGATTACAAGATCCATACTGTCACTCGACGCGACTACCCGTGCCTAGTCCAAATCAGTAGCCAAACTCTCAGGGACCTCTGGAAGAACAAGCAAGACTGTCCACAGGATCAAGAACCTATCGGCATACCCTTCCACCAATCTATCGATGACCTCGAAAACGCCGCTGCCGATGATTGTCCAATCTGCAAGACCGTACAGCGCGATGTCGCGCAGTTCCAATCCGATTTCAGTGGGGCGAAGAAGGAACCTGGAATTCGTGCCGAGCGTGGCGGAGGACCGGATTGGAAGATGTGTCTCGCTAGGGGTGTGAATGATACCGGGGGTTTCATGGTGGTGTCGGTCGATACAAAGTATTGGTGTCAGGTTTGGGTCGTTGCTGCTGTGGGGTTGTGTGCTGATTGTAAGTATCTAAGAGATTTGATGAAGCTGTTGCTTCGACTAATGGTGTTACAGACGGCGATCCGTTGGCCGCTGTCGTTCGAGGTCGCAAAACACTCTCATCGTCGCCGCATACACTTGCACATGCCCTGAACTGGGTACGCGATTGCGACAAACAACGGACGGATCGGCGCTGTCATGTCGATACGGCACCTCTTCCAGCTCGTGTCTTGGATATACGAGACTGGACGCCGCACAGAGTCGCTCTTTATGCGCCCATAGAAGGGGAACTGGGACGATATGCAGCACTGAGTTATGTCTGGGGTGAGACAAGCCCGTTCGCAACCACACGTGCCAATATCGAAGCCAACAAGAGGGGTATCGATACCGACCAGCTCCCAAAGACGTTTCAGGACGCCATCCTCATAGCCAGGGAAATGGGAATCGGATATCTATGGATCGACTCCCTCTGGTAAGTCAACCCTCTCCATCCTACTCAGAGCACCAAACCCTAACAACCCCAGTATCTGCCAAGACGACTCAGAAGACTGGTCACGCGAAACATCACGCATGGCCTCCGTCTACTCAAACGCCTACATCATGCTCTCCGCAACCGGTTCTCCCTCCTCCACATCCGGGTTATCCATATTCTCTCCCAACCGTCCAGCACCGATCTACTCCCCTTTCGAATACACAACCACAGATGGTATCAAAGGAACTCTCCACGCCTTCTCCTCCTCCCGTGAAACAGCCGCAAAGCCCTCCTGGGCCGGAAACAACGCAATGCTAAAGACCGAACCACTCAGCCAACGCGGCTGGGCGTTGCAAGAACGCTGGCTCGCACCGCGTGTGCTGCATTTCGGCACGGAGCAGATGTTCTTCGAGTGCTACTGTTCTTTCCTGAGCGAGCAGGGTTTCTACCTGCCAGGGCGAGGTGATACTCTTTTCCCAACTACATGCCGTACCTTCCCATCCCACACCCACCCTTCCTCTTCGGATAAACCTATCCCAGATAAAGACAACCCCACGCTACATTGGCACGCAGTGCTAGACGCCTACTCCCGCCGTTCTCTTACCAAACCTTCGGATAAACTGGTTGCCCTCTCTGGCCTCGCACGCACCTACGCTTCCTTGCTCCCTTCTCCTACCACCTACCTCGCGGGACACTGGTCCTCAACCTTACTCAACGACCTAATCTGGCAAGCCGTCGGCACGACAACCTCACCGGCAGTATACCGCGCACCGAGCTGGTCCTGGGCCGCCATCGACGGGCCGTTCGGCCTCTTCAGCCCGAATTCAGGTGTAGGGTGGGACAAGGGGGAATGGACCGCTTTAGCCAAGATCCACGCTACGAGTATTACGTTGAAGAGCGCCCAAAATCCTTTCGGCGAGGTAACGGACGGGTATATAGACATTAGCGCGCCGCTGGAACACTTATACCCTGCGGCCGAACAGAGAGAAGGCGATGGCGATGTTTTTCCCAATCGGCAGAAGGGTGCTGTGGCTCAGACGAAGGAGACGTTGGAGGGGGACATGGAGGCTACGTATACTTGTTTCGACACGCAGACTCATACGGAAAGGGCGAGGGGAAGGGAGTTGTGGGCTGCGATACTGTGGAAGCATGTAAGGCCTGAGGAGATGGAGAGAGATGCAAGTTATCATGCGATTATTGTGGCGAGAGTGGAGGGGAGAGAAGGGAATGTGTATGAGAGGTTGGGTAAAGTTCCTTTTTCAGCGAAGGACTTGGGGGTGTGTGAGTGGATGGATGATGGGGGGTTGGTGGAGAGGTTTACTTTGGTGTGAGTGGACTATCTGGTGCAATCGGTTTTAACTAGGATTTTTCCTTGCCCGCCGCGCGAATACAATGAGATTCGGCCATGATTCTCTTATCTCCTCGTCCCACCATTGCTTTGGACAGACACGTTCCAGCATCTCCAGATCGCCTTCTTCGTATGGTGTGATGTACTCTTCCCAATCGTCTTCTTTGATCTCATCACACGACCTGGCTAGGTTGTACAGTGTGAGCATAGCGATTAATCTGCCAATGCGCTCAAGAATGTGTTCTTCTGCGGTTTTAGGCTCGCTGGTTGAAGTTGCTTGATCGTAAATATCTCCGTCTTCTTCAAGGGGTCTGATGATGATTTCCCGGGCTAAGGATATCTCAGTCAATGTTGGCGAGCTGTTCACGGCGTAAGGGGGGATGATGGGGGACGGGGCTGTGCCATCGATGTATGCTGCTTGCTCTTCGGGAGTGGAGAAGGCGTGGTAACGCGGGATTCTGTGTTCTGGGGCTAGGCGGTTTCGCAGATTGCGCATGGTGCGTCGAGAGGAGGCAGACATGGAAGCAAGATGGTTGGTACTCCTGGTAGTAGCAGGAAACAGAAGTAGAGGGTGAACGAGAGTGACAAGAAATGCGAATAAACACTATATTGCCATAATGCTGCTGCGTTTGAAACTTCAATTATTTGCGATTGCTGTGCGCTTCACTATATCTTACTTGACATAGGCCCATCGTCCGTGGCAAGAATATCACATAGCCAGTCCGCTGCTTTGTCTGCCATAGGTTTAGGAAAAGCGTGTTCTACGCCCTCAAATAGCACGTCCTCGAAGGTGATGTCAAGACTTGGGTCTTCTGCTAGTACCTGTTTGAAGATCTTGTAGAACGGCTCACCAGCCGAGTAGGGAACAAGCTTGTCTGCCTGTCCACTGAGGTTCAGGATGCGCTTGCCCTGAAGCCTTTCCTTCATCAAGTCCTTCATTCTAGATAGCTGCTCTTGATCGGGTAGTGTGTCGTTTCCTAGCGGATTGAACATACCCGGTAACAGTAGACCTGCAGGATCATACTGGGCGATGGCGTCCTGTAGCGCTTGTGGGAAATCGGGGGATCCGAGGAATGCGCTTCCAGGTGGTGTTGTTTCCGTGTATGTCTTTCTCTTGGATAGGCGCGCGCGATCAGTCAACAAGCGCGTGTAGTCTGGACAGCCGATGCCGACTACGCCAGCGGTGATGCGGGGGTCACCTAGCAAGCAGTGCCATGTCGCATGTCCACCCAGCGAGATACCAAGGGCAAAGTGTTGTTCGATCTTGGGGCTATCTTTGGCGGTGAAGATGTAGGATTCGAGATGGTTGATGAGCTGAGAGGTGTCGGTCGCAGTGCCGTGGAAGCATCCAAACATGTCTTGGGCATGCGTCTCGTTTCCTTCCCTCCAGGCTTGATTGTGCAAATCGTCCACCTTGCGCGATCCGTGATTACGTTGGTCGAACGCAGCAGCAATTAAACCTTTGGGGTTCTTGCCGGCCCGGCCGTCTTGTATGCGCTTGTTCCACGTAGAGATGACGCGTCTGGCTATGGGAGCCATGGTCTCTTTTGTCTGCAATCGCGGATTGAGGAGCCATAGGCAGGCGACTGACGACGGGGAAGGAGGTAGCTGGTCGAGGCCATGGACGTCGACGAGGATGCCGGCGATTGTGATGGTGCGGGAGGAGACGGGGAGGTCAGACGAGTTCTGCGTCCCGTGGAGGGGATTCGTAGTCGCTGCCATGTTGGCTGATGGGGCCTAAGAATACTGAGGATAGAGATATAGGGTCGGGTGATTAGCAGGTCTAGAGAAAAGAATATGGAGCTATTCGTCTGGTGTATCTTGGAACATGGGCATGCGGAGGGGCAGGGGATCGCCGACCGAGGCTGCCGTCGACGGCAGAACTACATCATCGTGTGACAAGCTTCACAGGCGGCACTGGGCGATGTGCTGGCCATGGCATATGGATGCATGGCGTGATTATACAGCGGTACAAGGGGTCTTTCCATTGTGCATACGTGTGGTGAGTTCGGTATGCTTGTAGTGATTGGGAGTACAGTGCGGGGTGCAGCCACGCCGCAGAGAGACGGCGGCGACATCATCGAGTCTCTTTCGCCGAGAAGCGGGCGTTGCATGTGAATGCGATGTCACGAACGCGACGAGAGCGATATTTGACGCGTTCTGCAGGGCGTTGCATCGTACATATTTGTGGTGTGGAGCATCGACGCGGTGCAGGCGGTCAGCAAGGCGGAGAGGGCCCCTGACGCCAAAACCTTGTTGTATTAGCGCAACCAGACAGTTCACGCCCGGGGAAAGCACCTGGGAGATTACTCGAACTGCGCAGGGACCCAGCACGACGTACACTGATCACCTGCGCCGCGTGTCTCTTTCTCTCGCCTATCCATGACATAGACCTGTCACTGCGAGAATACTGCCACTCCACCTGGGGCAGCTTTCCATCCATCCATCGTGACGAGTGACGGCAGCAGCACGTTTCCTGGCTACCATGGCTGTATAACGCCCTAGAAGCCGAGCAACCACACCCCCACGCGACCTCGCCGTGAGAAGACACCCACCGACACTTTCTGCCTCTTCCGTGTCGTCATCATGGTTGGCTCCAGCAAGACCGGGGGCTCACCCACGACGCGCAGCCCTCGCTCGCGATCGCCTGCAGTATCAGGAAGGACAGACGAGTCCGGCCGACTGCTATCGCCGCTCAGTCTGGGACAGCCCAGGAATGAGACGCAAGACATACACAACCCCTCGCCCTCGGACGGCGCCCCCAAGATCATGCGCTCTGCCCCGACCGGCTCGCCCATCTCCAGCAAGGAAGCCGGCGAATTCCCTTTCCATGCTCCAGCGAACGCCAACGGGGGTAGCATCCCCGTGCCCGTCGAAGCCGCTGAAGCCCCCCTCCGCGCCCCGAAGCCTTCCTCGCACATGTCCAATGGGTCCACCAGCTCCTACTACCCGCCCTTTGCGCCCATGTCCCGACACCCTACCGAGGGCGAACTCTCCGACGCACCCCGAGAGCGCAAGAGCGTCCAGTTCGCTCGCTCCGCCACATTCACATCCGATCCGCCCGCCGCCAACTCGCGACAGCAGTCATGGGAGGTCGAAGACGGCGAAGGAAAGGGAAAGGAGCGGAGTGGACAGAGCTCGTCGCTCATGGGCAAGCTGAGGGCACTGGCAGCACCCATGCAGGGACACGGCAGGAGTCTGAGTGCATTGGGAGGAAGCTCAGGCCATGAAGGCTCACCCCATGGCCAGCTTTCGCCCACATCCGAGCACGACGAGCCGCGATTCGAGGGACACGACAGCGAGGCCGATGCTGATGGCGAGTCTAGCGCTGGCGAGGGTGCTTCAAGAAGACCGAGACAAAAGAGGCGGAAGAGCAGCCGCCGTTGGTTCGACGGCGAGGGCGAAGGCACCCAAACGGCCCCTACCACGCCCAAGCAGACAACAGGCGGCTTCTTTTCGCGTGACTCACCCACCATGACGCCTACCTCGACCCGCCCGGGCTTTCTACGCCGTTCCACCATGGATGACATACCCGAGAACGAGCGTCAGGGCTACTCAGAGGACGAGGGCCGCTCGCGCATCGCAAAAGAGAGCGCATGGACACGCGGACTACACAGTGCGAGGGGACTTTCGTACGGAGGTTTGCGAAGACACGACCCCAACGGCGAGGAAGAGGGTCACCAGAATCGTCCTACCGGCAACTTGCGAAGCTTGACTACCTTCAGGGGTGCGGCGGGAGACACACAGCCCTCACCATGGCGGATGCGTAGCGAGCGGACGTCAAGTTTGAGTGCGCAGAAGTGGAAGTCGATCAAGAACAGCCTCAAGCTGCTCGGCAACCGACAAAAGGCCGAACGCCAAATCGACCACGCAAAGTCGGCCGAGCTGATGGCTGAACTGCTTGCTGGTGCACCCGCAGCCTTGTTCTTTGCCAGCATGTTCCAACGCGATGAGCACGGCCACAGGCGTATCCCCGTCCTTCTCGAGCAGCTCAAGGTTACCATCACCGATACAGACCGCCCCGCAAAGAAGGAGGGCGATCGGCATACTGCTTTGCGCATAGAGCTGGAGTATGGCAGTGGTCTGACCAGGATGAAGTGGGTTGTCTACAGAAGTGTCGCCGATTTTGCCAATCTGCATCTCAAGTTCAAAGTCCAGGAGAAGCAAGACGCTTTCCGCAGTCGCCCGGCTAACCGTATGCGAGAACTGAAGGACAAGACATCCAAAGACGGCGAGGCCGAGAAGGAAGAAGAGAAAGAAGATCCACGCACAAAACTCCCACGCTTCCCCAGAAGTGTATTGCCCTATCTCCGAGGTCTTCGAGGCTACGGCATCCTTGATGACGAAGGTGAGGAAGAGGAGGAAGAGGCTGCAGCAGGAGCCAGCGGACCAGATGGCGATGCAAGCGCTACCGAACGCCCCAATAGACCCAAGCGAGGCAAGTCTTCATTCTTAGGTCGCAGACAGTCAAGCGTAAGTGGTTCTC